CCCCCCCCGCCATGCCAGGGCTGTTGCCCCCCCCCGATCCTTGGAGTTGTTGGCCCGCAGCACTCTGCGCCCCCCCAGATCACACGTGCATGCACACACCCATTTACACAAATGCATGTACATGTGCACACGCACACACATATATGCTCACACACACATGCTCTCTCTCATACACACACATGTTCAGATACTTTCACACACATATGCACTTGCATGTTCTTACATACATGCTCATATGCTCTTACACACATGTATGCTTTCTTACACACACACACGTTCTCAAACACATACGCTTACATGCCCTTACACACGTTTTCTCACATGCACACACACATATGCTCTCTCTCACACACAAATGCGCTCATGAAGTCTCTCCCTCACACACACACACACACACACGTGTGCACACACGTGTCAAGCGGTGGCACGGAGCGTACATAGAATATCGCTTTATTCCCGTGCGCAGGGCCGGCCCAGGCTGGGGCTCGGCTCGACACGACCTACAAAAATAGACTCTGCTCTGTGATATAAATAATTTACCTGCCCCCCCTGCCCCCACCATGGCAGGACCAGGGGGCACTGGCAGCAGGGCCAGGGGGGCCCCATGCCCGCTCGCACCCTGGGCATGGCTGGGGCTGGGCCGTGGGGGTGGCCGCAGGGACCTGCTGGTGCCCCCCCTGCCCCTGAGCTTTGTGGGTGCCCTCGACCCTCCAGCAGGGGTGGCGCCAGCAGGCAATTGGGGGGGGGCAGGAATTAAAGTGCTGGTGATGGAGGTGAAGCGGGTGCTGTTTGCCCTCCGGCTCCAGGATCGGGGTCCATGTGGGGAGGGGGCTGCAGCAGGACCGAGCGCTGCCATTTCTCCCCAGGAGGTGAGCAGGGAGCAGGGGGGCAGTAACCCCCCCCCGGGCACCCCAACCCAAGCAGCCCCCCCTTGCATAGGAACTGGTGCCTGCAGGGCTGGGCTCTGCCCCCCACACCCCGGGGTCTCCAGGGCAGGGGCAGCGCAGGGAGAAGAATAATAATAATATTAAGGGAATAGCAGCATGTCATGGGGGTGCTGGCACCCCCCACCCCACTGGGCACCCCCAGCCCTGCCCACGGCTCCTGGCACCCACGCTCCCCGGCCCAGCCAGTGGGACGCCAGGGCACGGCCTGGCACACGTGGCACATCATGATACGAAAGGTCACGTCCTGGCACAGCAAACGTGGCACATCGTAGTGTGCTGCACCATGTCACGCCGTGGCACATCTTCAGGGGCCTCCTGGTCCCGTGGGGCAGCCTGCAATGACATGGGGGCAGCAGGTCAGAGCAGGCCCCACCTGCAGCTGCACTCTCCGCCTTACTACCATCAGGCGTGGGCAGGCACGTGTGTGTTCCCACGTGTGCCCATGGCATCAGGCCCTGCAAACACGCCACGGGGCACCTCTGCTGGGCTCCCCCTCAAGAGCCCAGAGCTGCTGCCCCTGGTGCCCTGCACTGTGGGCATGATATGTGGCCCCACCTAGCGGCACGTGGCAGTGGCGTGGCACCCATGGCGGGTGTGCTGAGCGCCAGGCAGGTCCTCGTGGCCGTCGGACTCACTGTCCTCGAAGGCAGCGTGGGCATAGCCGCGGGCGGCGCCAGGCAGGCCGGGGTGCAGTGCCAACGTCACCGAGGCTGTGGCTGTCACCGTGGCGTAGGTGGGTGGTAGGGCTGTGGGGCGGGCGCGGGGCGGCCGGTCTCCGGCTGTGGGCTCCTGTCCCAGGGGCTCTGGCCCCACCTCGAAGGCTTTCACCACCTGCAAGACAGAGGGGGCATGAGGCAGCCGGCCCTGCTGCTCTGCCCGCCCCAGGGAACCCAGGCGTCCAGTCCCCCTGCCCTGGGGCACGGCCAGACTCACGGTGATGCAGGGAAAGCGGGGGTCCTTGCCGGCCTGGAGCAGGATGCAGGCCTGGGCGCTGCTGGAGGAGTCATCGTCGCCAGGCCCTGCGCCTGTGGGGGTCTCGGGGGCCGTGTCAGGGCTGTGCCAGGCTGGTGGGTGCCCCACATAGAAGCCGTGGTGGGCAATGGGCGGCGGAAGGGGCTCCGGCGACGGCAAGCGGCTGCTGTTATCTATTGGAGGGACCTGGAGACGGAGCCAGGGGAGAGGGGGGTGGGTCAGATGGGGCAGGGCTCCGCGACACCCCTCTGAGGTGCCTCCAGGGCAGCCGAGCCCGGCATTCACTCTGAAGCCTACTGACAGCCGCAGAGACAGAGTCCCGCTCCTGCTGCTTGACGTCTCCCACTGCTGCTGCCAGCACAGCAGACGTGACCCCAGGAGTCTGGCGCCCCCCTCCCCTGCCCCCCTCCAACAGGGGCGGGCCGGGGGGCGGCTTGTACCTCGGCGGGGGGTCCGATGACCGAGAGCAGGACGGGCAGCAGCACCAGCCCGTTGAGGAGCCCCAGCACGGTGAGGACAGACAGCACGGAGAAGAAGTACCTGCCGGGGGTGGTGCAGGTGAGCAGGGGCCACGCCTGCCCCCCCACCCCTCCAGCATCCCAGAGTGCTTTGCAACAGGGGATGAGGCCAAGCCTCAAGATGTAAAGCAGGAGGAGAACCCAGGTATCCGGGCTCTCCCCCAGAGCCAGCTGCACCACCCCAAAGGCGTCTGGGAAGGTGTGGCCAGTCCAGACCCTACCTGCCTTCACCTGGAGGCTTCTGGGAAGGTGGGGGACCAACTTGGAAACCCTGCCCCAAAAGCTTCTGGGAAGGTGGGGGGGTGAGGTTGCGCTCCCAACTCCAAAGACCTCTGGGAAGGCAGGGGCCAGCCTGGAGTCCTCCCCCTCCCCCTCCCCCCTGCCTTTGCCCCAAAGTATTCTGGGAAGGTGGGGGCCAGCCTGGAGCCCCCCTCCCCTGCTGCAAAGGCCTTGCTCCAAAGACCTCTGGGAAGGTGGGGGGTCAGTTTGGAAATCTTGCCCCAAAGGCTTCTGGGAAGGCAGGGGCCAGCCTGAACCCCCCTGTCTTCTGCCCCAAAGGTCTATGGGAAGGCAAGGGGCAGCCTGGACCCTCCCCATTGCCCCAAAGGCCTGTGGGAACACAGGGCATGGCGCTCACCTCATGATGAAGTCAAACTCAGAGCCGGCAAGCATGAGGACGCCGAGCAGGGTGGAGATGCCGCCGTCCAGCACGGGTGCGAAGACGTGCTCCAGCGCCAGCGCCGAGCGCCGGTCCCGACTACCCACAGCCGTCAGAAAGCCCTGGGATATGGCGCAGCGTCAGCCCGGTCCAGCCGGCACCTGGGGTCTGGCATGGGTACTGGGGGGGAGGGGGCGCTGGCCTGGGGACACTCACCAGTGCAACATGGACGGTGAACTCAACACCGATGCCCACGGAGGCAATAAGGATGACGACGGGCACGGCGCTCAGCTTGATGCCCATCAGCCCCATCAGCCCGAACAGCTCCACTGTCATCATGGCCAGCACCAGCACCTGCCACCATGTGCCAGGTCAGGGGGGGCACTTGCCCCCTGACGCCCACGCCTGCCATGGCTCTCCCCACCTCCCTGCACCCCAGGGCTGCCCCCATTGGATGCCCCTAGGGGACATATAGACCCTCCCCAGCACCCAGCAGATGTACAGCCAAGGCCCATTGTATAGCCAAGACTCACGATGATGCCGGCCGTCCAGGGGTTGAGCAGCAGCAGGGCGCAGACCAGGAAGGTGCAGGCCAGCGCGATGCTGAGCGCCAGCAGCAGCCAGCGCCGCAGGCCCAGGTACTGCTCCCAGAAGAGGAAGGGGTCGCCGCTGGGGTAGCTGCGCACGCCGTGGCGCCGTGCCGCTTCCTCGCACACGGCCCGCACGCCCTCGATGGCCTCCACAAAGTCGGCCGTGTGCCGCAGCCCGCTCAGATAGAAGGGCACCTGTGCGAACTCCAGGGGCTGCGCCGCCGGGACTGCAGGGGCATGGGGAGGGGGTCAGGCTGAGCCGGACCTGGCCTGTCCTCTTTGGCCATGGTCAGGTGCAGGCCCCCGGAGCAGGCGTGGCAGGAAAGGCAGAAGGTTGGTGGGCTATGGGTCAGGAGTGAGGGGCACTGGCTGGGCTGGGGGCTGTGGGTGGGGAGTGAGGGCCCCCAGCAGGAAGGAGAATGGGGCAGCATGGGGCACTCACTGCGCAGATTCTCGCCAGTGGCGTCGTACTTGTCGTGCACCCACTCCGGCGGCGGCGGGTAGAAGTTGGCCTGAGAGGCTGCCAGCCCCAGCGGATCATTGCTGGCCCAGACCGTCAGGCTGATGTAGAAGGTGTCAGGTGGC